ACGGCAGGCACTGAAGATGGAGGAGGTCCGGCTTGCTCAGCAGGAGTCACAAGCACCTTTTTCTTCCACCTTTTTCCAGCCGGGGAACAAAGCGCCTCTTCACATTGGTGTGACATTGGATGTACAGAATGGGGGAGTTTGGGTGTAGCTCCCCCTTGGTCATGACTCACCTCAGCTTCCGGCTTTGGTCTGGGGATGGGCACCCGGTAACAGCATTGTCAGATAGACATGAACTGTAGTGGAATTGTTTCCCACATAGAGTATAATCCATTAATGTAAATTCAAAAGTTATTAGAAAATGGTCAGACAGAAGAGGGTTATGGGGAAAAACTATTAAGTGTTCAGTTTCGATGCCATATGTCAGAACAAGATCAAGAGTGTGATTAAAACAGTGAGTGGGTTTATTTACAGTTTGAGAGAAGCCAACTGAATCTAACAATGAACAGAATGCATTGTTGAGTCTGTCATTGTCGGCATCTACATGAATATTAAAGTCACCTACTATGATTATTTTATCTGCACTAAGCACTAAATCAGACAGAAAGTCACTTAAAAACTCTGAATAAGGAGCAGGTGGACGATATACAATAACAAATAGAACTGGCTTTTGAGTTTTCCAGTTTGGGTGTGAGAGACTCAGTGAGACTTTCAAATGAATTAAAGCTATGTTTAAAATTAGGACGACTCCTCTTATAGTAGAAAGTAATAGGACAATTAAATGTGGACTATTAAATATCAGATCCCTCTCGTCTAAATGTCTGTTAGTGAATGATTTGATAATTGAACATCACAGTGATTTACTGTGTCTTACTGAAACCTGGTTACAGCAGGAAGAATATGTCAGTCTAAATGAATCCACTCCACCTGGTCACAGTAACTGTCACATCCCTCAAAACACAGGCGGAGGAGGAGATGTGGCAGCGATTTTTGACTCAAGCCTATTAATCAACCCTAGACCAACCACCAGAGCGTGCTGTTAGAAATTAGTAAATCAGTTAGTTCATTCTTAAACATCGTGTTGAATCTTGTGTTAGTAATGCAATTTAGTAAGATTCAAACTCTGCTCTAGTCTGTTTTGTTTCAAGGTTAGCAGAGTGTTGATTCTGAAAAGGGAACCATGGTACCAATTGTTTTCTTGTATTAAATCTTGTGTTCGAATATTATGTCTGAATGAATGCTTAGCTACGCACCACGTGACAACATACACACACATTGAGTTTCCTCATTTTGTTATGACTAGGTAAAATCCAGCTGCTCCAAGCCCGTGGAGCTCTAGATAAGAGATGGAGTCTGCGGACTGACTTCATCTGTGTAAGGGGTTAGCCCAAAACTTATAAATGTATTAGGCTCTGTGTTTCTGGGACTCCTTTTTTCCAGCAGCCTGCATGGGGATGCCTGGAAGGGGGAGCCACCCGGGTTGTGTTTTGTAATTTTATTTGTGGTTTAAAATAAATCAGTGCTAAAATGAAGAAAGACGGACTCCTTCGTTATTCAGATCTGTCCAATAAAAGAACTGGGATATTACAGTGCAAAGTCAGAGTTCATCCTGTTGACGAGAATGATCTCATCCATCCTATTGACTAGGGAGCGAAGATTTGCTAGGTGGATAGATGGGAGTGGGGTCTGGGTTCCTCTCTAGCACAGCCTAAACTAAGGTGCCCACTTGCTTGCCTCACCAGTGTTTTTTCAAGGTCCCATAGATTGCAGCTGCACTGCCTTGAAACCCCTGTGGCTAGATTCATAGACATATTTGTACATAACAATCACTTATTATGCCTGTTACCCTTTTAGCATATTCTGTGCCTTGGTTGTTATGCTTAAATAGTATTCGATGTCCATTTGAGGCTGTTATACTGTATGTTTAAATGATTGATTACTTTTTGTTTTATGCATAAATCAGGAGTGAGGTATTTTCTAAAGAGTTTTATGTTGAAAATGTACTGGCCTTGTTAACCACAGACCTTATTTCAGGCATCTAACCAAAAACCCATAGACTTCAGGGTGAGGGAAACAGAAGGGAAAAAATGCTAACTGATTTCTGGGGGCTTGGGGGGCATTTTGTGGCAGCTCCTTGTGAGCCATCTTACCCTTGAAGGTGTTATTTGTCCCAGGCTTTGCTGACTCATGTTGTCTGGATAGATGCCAAAAGTAAGCATTCTGGAAGGTGAAAAGGTGCAAAGTGACTGAATCAATGTTAAACATACAGTACATATGGGATTGGAAAGACTATAGTCACATATAATTGCTTTGTAATCACCAACATTTTAATCAGCAGCTGTAAGTGAAATATATTTTACTTAGTAACTGTAAATAATTATAGTTACATTTATTTTGTAATTTAATTTCAGGAACCAGTTACTCCCCAACACAGCTTATGTATTTTCTTGGCAATCAGAGGATCAAAACTACTCTTTTTAACATCTTTTCTATAAATGAAAAGTTACAGATAGCAGCCACGGAATTTCTGGCTTTTATAAAACACAGGCTGTTTTTTATATACAACCTGCCTGCACTCGCCTCTTCACCCAACATCCTTCTACCAATATAACCACTATCCCTCCTCTGCACATTTCCAAACCATCTCAATCTGGCCTCTTTGACCTTGTCCCCACACATGAGAAATATGTGTGTGCCCATCCTGGTCACTCCTAAAGAGAACCTCAACATCCTCATCTCTGCTACCTCCATCTCTGCCTCTTGTCTTTTCCTCACTGCTACAATCTCTAACCCATACAGCATAGCACACCTTTCCTTTGATTCATGCTGTCACTCTTCTGTCACACAACACTCCTGACACCTTTCTCCACCCACTCCAACCTGCCTGCACTCGCCTCTTCACCTCTTTCCTACACTCCACATCACACTGGACTGTTGACCCCAAATACTTAAACTCCTGCGCCTTCTTGACCTCAGCCCCCTGTAACCTCACTGTTCCACTTCCCTCCCTCTCCTTCATACACATGTATTCTGTCTTACTATGACTGACTTTCATTCCTCTTCTTTCCAGAGCAGACCTCCACCTTTCTAGGTGTTCCTCCACCTGCTCTCTGCTATCACTACAGATCACAATGTCATCATTGTCCATGGAGATTCCTGTCTGACCTCATCTGTCCACCTGTCCATCACCATAGCAAACAAGAAGGGACTCAAAGCCGATCCTTGATGCAGCCCCACCTCCACCTTGAACTCCTCTGTCTGACCTACAGCACATCTCACTACTGTCGTACTCCTCTCATACATATCCTGAACTACTCTGATGTACTTCTCACTCCTGACATCCTCATACAGTACCATAGCTCCTCTCTCGGCACTCTGTCGTACACTTTCTC